CATTGGTAGAGAGTGAACCAGGTAAAGTGAAGTATTTTATTGATATAGCAAAAGTTATCTCACTGACCTCTTATATATATATATATATATATATATATATATATATATATTACTGCAACAACAACAGTTAGATTTGAGCAACACATTTTACGTCATTCATTCGGGAAATGTGACTCATGATTAACAGTTCTATATTTTACTGTATTTGTGACAGGGCACTCTGCCTGATTATTGCAAATATGGAAATACCAGAAGGCTGTTGGGGAATTAATTACATATCTGGGGTGGTACTAAATCATATTCTCTCATTTGTGTGTGTAAGAGCAACTTGAGCCTTCAGGTAGAAGTATATCATAACACTAACTGGAGCATAAATTATTATAAAATGTAACACAACTAAGATATAAGTATCATGGTGGAGAGAATATTCAGTAGCCTACATGTACTGATTTGAAGTGGACAGGAAAGAGCAGCTGTGATTGGAAATGGATCCTAAGATAGCGGATTAAACTGTGCTGCCCTGATCTACTTTAGAGGAGTGTCGGCCTTGGGCTCTCTCTGCAAATATAATTCAATTCTGCCTGATGAGGGAGGGATGAGAGACATTTATGGAAGGATACAGCAAACATGCTGCAAAACTTCAAACCCCTTTGAGAGAAAAACTGATTCACTTGGTGTTTCGCAGTGTAATATTGACGAATATCTAACAAGAGACATTGGATATACTGTTATACACATGCTTTAGTTCTTTGTGGAAAAAATAATCTGTCCTTCTGCCTCTGCTTGGCATCCTTCTCTTCTGGCTCATATTTTTAATTACAAGCTCACTATTTCCAAGAGTCATGGGCAAAAGGGGCTGACAGACTCAACAGGGGGAATAGGGTTTTTTTTTTTTTTTTTTTTTTTACAAGAACGGCAAACAAACCTTGGCTTTACATTAACCTGCAGTTAGTCCAGCTCAAACAATGGCAAGAACGACAAATTTAACTTTACACTTTCTTAACCACTACACGCTTAACTATTCACATTTATTAAAAAGCCATGCAGGTTATGTTTCTTAGGTAATGTAGGTACATACATATTTAATCTCCTCAGAAGAAGGCACCCTATTTCTGCCATAACTATCAGGACTTCCTGTTTTCCAAAGGAAGCACAAGGTTACGGCTGACAGGATCTCATCAGGAGAGAGTGACCGTGGAAGAGCCAGTCTCAGACAGAAACAAGAAGCTGTAATCTCCACTCCAGGCAGTAAGGAGGGAAAATACTTTCCATGGAAGGTCTGACTTCATCATTTCCCCAGAACCTTGACAACACTCATCGTGTTTCACTATAGGCTTGTGTAACACAGGTGACACTAGTAGCAGATTACAGAAATGAAGAAGAAACAACAATAAAAGACACAAGGAACAGACAAACACTAAAAGAGTAGGAGAGGTCAAAACTAGGGTTGGGCGATTGAAGTAATATATTGGCTCCATTAAGTCTAGCACCGGGTTATTTTTTGGACGATTTTGGTAATTTTATTTAGCTACTTTAAAGATCTGCCTTCGAAGAATGGTCAGCGAAAAGTTCAGTGGCCCAGTAATGTTACACACACTGTGCCAAAGTACGAGTAAGAGGAACAACAGCTGTAGAGGTCAGGGGTTTATTTTGGCCAGTTTGACAACTAGAATAAAGTACAGCGGCTCCGACCAGGACTCTGATTCCAGGCATGACGAAGACATGTGCAGGTGTGTGTGAATATACTGTATCAGCAATCGCTGGTTATTGAAGTGACAGTGGCTGGTTGGAAAGTTATAACATATTGCCCAACCCTTGTCAAAACAGAGCATGAGGGCAGAGGAGAAAAGGAAAAAAAACATATACAGGTTTGACATTACTACATGTGCTGAGCAATTGGCATAAAAAGTAGATATAAACTCTTTTGGCCATTTAAGAAAACTTTGATTACATCTTCCCTGAGAGACATTCCTGTAGCTGGGAAATGTCATCTTAAGGTTGAATTACCTAAATAACCTTGTTACTGTCATTAAATTGTACTAACATTACTGTGTACATTAAACTACGCCTCTATATCATATAGCAACATATACGCAGGTCTGACCATAACTGTGTCATTCAAAATTTATTTTTACACTTGTTTTCAGATCAACCACCTTCCCCTGTTACAATTAAAACAGCACTCAGTCAAATGGTCCACAAAGTCATGATTTGCCTGTATTATGATTATATGGTTTGCATCTTTTAGCATACGTGAGTCAACATATAATAAAACACATAATTTATATTTGCTGTAATTGTTGACACAGTGTTGAATGTTCCACTCAAGACACAGCCCTCCCTATACGATCCATATGTCATATTAACCACCTTGTTTGTTCAGTCGAACATTATGTGCAGCAGGTACATGGTGATGTTTGCTGTGTTAGGGCTGTTAACATAAAGATTGAATCTTCAACCACATCCCCACCTACACATTTTAGTTTGCATAATGTCATTGTCGTGCCACATGTCCAAGCAAAGCTAGATTAGCATTGTTAGACCAGGGGATGATGAGCAGCAGGGGCAGATTTAGAGAAGTACTCATGGGAGTAATTTAATCTGATTTAACAATCACATATATCAATATTTGCTTGGAAAAGCCCCCAGACGAAGCTATTTTAACTCCATAAAACATTATATTATTGTATTACATTTCATTGATATCTAAAGAAAAAAACATCAAAATAACATAAGAGATCAGTAAATTAAGTAATTAATTACATTTTAACGTGTTACTTTTTAAATCATTCTAAATTAACATGTTAAATGGCTGCTGCCACCCCTCTAGATCCATCCCTCAGTGGGCAGCCAATATGAGGAGGAGATTAACAAGAGATCAACCTCCTGCTCCTGACTGTCTGACCAGCTGGACCTGCTTGGTTCAATGATACTGAGAAAACTTCAATCTCTGGCTTTTCGACCCTTTATGAGCCTCCAACACAGTAACCTAATTTATAATAGTTGCATGAAGCCATTAAAACATAAAAGAAAGGAGCCGACTGAGAGCAAGACGGCAAAGGAGTTGAAGGAGGATGGCCTTTTCAGAAAGGTACATGGGAAGCTGGGAGCAAACGTCATAGAAAAGAATGAATGAAAGTCTTGATGGTGGTACAATAGGAAAACTAAGTGATTAAGGAGTCAGCTTGCTGAGAAACACAGAAAGCCATGTGAATGAGGAAGAAGTCTCCGTCCCTCCCACACTCTAGTGACAATCTGAGGCCAGCTGGCCTGGCCAAAGCATCCATTCACTCAGCTTCCAGGAAGCGAAGGAGAAAAACAACAAGACTTTCAGAAAACAGTACATGGCCATCTCCTCTCAGACTGCTGCTGGAGTTGGCTCCCACAATCCCAAATTACTCAGAGCATTTCCTCCCTGAAACACTGTTTCTCACCTGGCAAAAGATGACTCAGGTGTGCCTTTAACCTTGTTTAGAAAAAAAGGATGTCACAGGCTAGGACATCACCACACAAACCTAGATTAAAACAACCAGAAATATCAAGTTCACAACAAAACCATAATTTGGCGGTCTGTCAAAAGAGGCCAATGTCTTACTTTACTCAAAATGGTAAATAAATTGCAAAGTTCACCAAGAAAAGCTATTAAATATGATGCAACGATATAAGAGATAAGGCAAAACCAGGTCCTCCAGGACAAAAAAAGACTAAAAAAAGGAGAACAAATACAACTGGGCTAAAAGAGGTGCCACATTTTGACTTGCTGCATTCAGTGAAATGATGAGTATAGCATTCAACAAGTGTGTTTCATGGAAATAGTGATTCTCCAGCAACCAATAAAGGAAATATTGCAAATATTCTCTAACTTGCTGCAAGGAATTCCCATATCTTATCACGCACTACCAAAACCAGTATGTAGGCCAATCGATAAAAACTCCTAGGTTGCTGGTACGGTTGACAGCCTCCATGTTGATGTAAAACAGCAGAGTGTGTTTCTGCAAGATAGATTCTGAAAAGGGGGTTTCCAAAAGACATTTTAGAGTTGTTTTGTATCTACATGGACAGGAAAATATCTACTAGACTGCCAAGATGTTCCTCTTAAGGTGGTGTTTAGGAGGACAGAAGGTGAGCCCATATGACATTTATCTACGATGTGTGTGTGTATTTATATATAAAAAATATGTGGATCATCAGCGTGCAAAATACTACTTTCTTCATGCAGCACGAGCCTCGTCCTCAGTGAACCGATCTCATAACTTCTGCAGATGAATATTTCCACATACTTTGGGTTGAAAACATGCCTGCATTAACACCCAAACGCACACATAAATAGTGGCAACAGAAGGCAATACACAACATCAGCGCAGTCTTGGATGTAGGTCACACAGCCAGAAGCAGAGAGAAAAAAATACTCAATCAGGATGTAGTTCTATATATTTCTATATATATGTGTGTATGTATATATATACACCACTTCCATAGCGACGAGAGGGAAAGGGTTAACTAATATTCCCTAAAATCGGTCCCACCAGCCCAGCCTGCTGAGGGTCAGTATGTCATGAAGATGATTGGCTCTGATGGGAATCTGCCTGAAACCGTTGCATGTTTAAAAGTGGATAGCCAGACACTAAGAGAGCCGGGTGGAGTTCAACTTTTGATTTTTGAATGCTTGGCGGGAGGTTGGGGGGGGGGCTGTCACACTGGAATGATTGTCTCTTTGTTCCTCCACTCCACTTGTTCTTTGTAAGACAAGAAAGACGGGTATTTTGTCTTCCCCGTGTCCGTGCTTCTGACAGGTGCATGATTTGTCTGTGCAGCGACTGCTGTACAGTAAATTGAATTCACAGGGACGGTAGGTACACGTAGGCAATTTGTCACATACCTGCAAAGGGGAAGATATTCTACGGTTTAAGTGAAACATCTTCAGCCAAAAAATTAAATCCTGGAAAAAAGTTTTTTTTCCAACTGTGACAGTGTGTGACAGTAATGCTTGAAAGACCTACCACCAAGTGATGAAAGAGAAGCTCCCATGACTGACTCAGCTTCTGGTTCACCACCATGTCAAAGAAGTCATACATGAAGTAACCTGTGGGGAATAGACAGCATTTAGCCAATGTTAAAGCCATATTCAGGTCTGGCAATTCATTAATCAACCAAAACACGACAGATTCTTTTGACAATAGAAGCCTTGAGCGTATCAAGTGCATTGGGGGGTGGGGGACCCGCTTCCATGACGACAGCGATGGCAACCGAGATGTGTCTTGGAGAGGGGCTATTCATATCCACCAACCCCACCCCTTTCCCCACCACCGGCTGTATCCATGGTGACAGCTATTCAGAATGCTGGAAAAATAATGAAGTGTTGAGGATGGGGGGCTCGGGGGGCTTTGGTGAGACTGGAATTAACCTCATTATGTTGGAAATGTGACACCGGGACCCTTTTTGTTGATGTGGTAACATGTTTGGGTTCATCTCACCATAAACAAATGTTCCTGCTACCAGCCAGCAGAGCAGATAAATACCAGAAGAACACCACAAAGCATTTGATTGGTTTATGTGCATTATCTGGTGTCCATCGCGGTTCTCATCGCAGGTCACATTTTGCCATAAACAGCCAATTTGAGTGTGTGACTTGTTGCCAATCTATCTTTTATCTTGCCCTTGTGTTTTTAGAATGATTCATTCAGCACTGACACATCTGTATTCAAAACATACCGGTGGAGCAAAGAATGACTGTGTGACACTCTCTTTATGTTCTGCAACACGGGCATGATGCCTATGTGAAACCTCTGTACAGTCAGAACAAAGGAATCAGACACTGGTTCACTTTCCACTGGCTACTGGGGGGAGAAAGAAAGGGGGGGTTTCTAGTTAAATCCTCCAAAGTAAAACATTTGCATCTTTCCATTCAAGATTTATTGGTATGTTTACATGAACATGGAATTCCTTTCTTGAACCAGTTAGTCAAACAATCTGGTTTCAGGCTGCCAGTATCACGCCTCAGTTGGAATGACCCAGTTCAGTATGAGAAACCTGATTAAGACACCTGGCTTAGTCTGATACTTGCCAAGTTACTGCAGCATGTAAACATCTTATTACTGTGGCTTTTTGTTTTTATGGGCTGTGTAAACTTGACTTGCAAAGCATTATGGGAACTTCTTTATATATATATATATCTAAATAAAATGTTTTTTTAGAGGTATCTTATGGTTTTTTGGGTTAAATAGGCAAAGAGAACTTTTCTTTAAATTGGTTATTCATAACATGGAGAATAAACTGTATCAAAAGTCACATGAAAAAGGGTTTTACATACATAAAACATTAAGCGTGGTTAAATTCCAGTGCAAGGCATTGTTCTAGGTGCTGCACAAGGTCTTCATTCAACAACTGGAGAGTAATTTAAGGCATGTCACTGTGAGGTTTGCTGCGTGGTATCACAGGCTGAATGCACAAATCTGGTGGACAAAACTCCTCACTAAACATGCTGAGGCCTCAGAATCACACCACATTTCTGGTGGGAGGGTTTAGGAGAAGCACTCCACTTGTTTTTTTGCATGGATGACTCCCCTTTTTGTTACCAGTGGCATCTGATGTGGATGGTTAGCATAAATCAGCTTTTTGCGTAGATGCTGTCTTTAGTGATGTCACATGACAGTACAGGGGTTACGCCCCGTGCCTGGGACTGATAATAATGCCCCCCATTGATCTTCACATACTGGCGCTGCTCCTTGCTTTGCCAGCTTCCAGGGGCTGGACTTCCTGAAAGAATGTCAAACATCCTGGGAATCCTCGGGGAGCCCTTGTTGCCCCGCAAACATCCAATAAATGTGTGGATTTAGGAGGGCTCACGTGCCGCCAGAATACTTTAGAGATTAATGAGGAAAAGTAAAAACAGGGTGAGTTGCTATTTTAAGAATGTGGGGTAGCATGCACTCAAAATCTAATTCATGCAAGTCACTAATTTGGTTTTGGGCGAGTAGATGGTGAAAGCCTTCGTTGTGGATTCCAGGTAGTGATTCAGTAGAAAAAGAAATCGTCTACAGGAGGAGTGAACGCATCAGTGGAGCCGAAAAGTGTGAATGGGGTCAGAGCTGACAGGAAAGGGGGGGAGAGAGAGAGAGAGAGAGGGAAAGACATGCAGCAAAGGGCAACAGGTCAGATTTTGAACCCCAGGCTGCTGCAGTGAGGACTCAGCCTTTGTATGTGGGGAGCCAGCTGAGCTACCAGGGAGCCCCAATATGATAAATATCAACCAGGTCAGTGAATTGTAGAAACAGTTAAATGATGGAGCACATCAACATGACAGAAGATAATTCACTGAGTGTAAAAAAAAATACTCAGTTTACCTCATTCTTAGACAATATGCTGCTGGTGTCACATAATTCAAACACTGTATGAGCTCATTGTGCAAGGTATTGACATTAAACATGTTCCCTATGCAGCTGAATTAAATTTATAAATACTTTTCAAGTTAAGACTTGTAATATCTCGTTTAAATAAAAGGTTTTACAAGAACTACATGAAACCGAACAGTAGGGAAATGGAAAATCAGACTAGCTCTGATGGATAATTCCTCACTTTCCCTTATGGTGGCAGCACCCATGGGTGCGCTCCCTCTGTAGCACTCCCTCCACCACCACCACCAGCCCATTCACATGACGACTGTATCGATCTGTAATCCAGCATTGTAGGAGTGCCGACAGGATACTCACCGATGGAAAACGACACCAAAGCGTGAGAAAACACTGAGTGAGTTTCTATCAAATCTTCAGCCATCTGCGGGTGACGGAAAAAGCTGAAGAGATACAAAAAAAATATATAAAAAATAAATAAAGTTCACATAAAACATTAAGAAGGGGGAAAAAAAGTTTTATAATTTGTGGAACTTTATTTTAAAGTGACATCTTTACAAGGAATCCAGTCAACTTTAAGTTTAATGTAGATAATTAGGTTGTCAGTGGCACCTTTTAATGTACTGCCAGTTAATAGACTGGGCAAACAGCAGGGCAAAAACCAGCATTGATCAATAAAAAACAATACAAAGTCAAATGACATGAAATTAAATTAAATTTAAAGCAAATTATTCAAAAATACAACCGCGCCAGAAGCCAGCATCCATGAATGAACCCATGCTTTTCAAAGCTCAACAGATCTTCACTCACAATTTAAGATTTCACATTTTAACAGAAAGCTGAATAACACAGTTGGATTTAACTCACCACAGCACTGCCCATATCGCAGTGATAAAGCTGTGCACGAAGGATGTGGCGATGTTTCTCCATTTCCACGCATTCCTACAGGCGGACTCGGGCATGGGGAGTTTACTGACCCCCGCGTGGACAAGTCGGAAAAACCCGAAGGAGCTCCCGGTGGTTAAAATTACTGAACTCAACTCCATAGTTGAAAGATAATTTCAGTTTTACGATAGCTGTAGTAGATGAAGACTTCAGAGGTCCCCCCCTCCTGTCTCCTCACTATGAGCGGTGTAATAAATAGACTATATATAATATAATATAATATAATGGCTCCAGACGGCTGTGGGCGACGACCGAGACGATCACGTTAACGCACCGGTGTGTTCCCAATCATGTGTGCCACAACAGGCTGGTGAAAGGCGGTTATTGTCCAGAGAAGAAAAACACAGATTGACTATGTCTGTGTGTGTGTGTGAGAGATATGCCGCCCCCCGCCCTCCTATAATAAACCCCTCTGAGGCCACAGGTCTAACCGGTAGCAGTGGACGGTGAATGTAGGCGTGAAGTCTCGTTCACAGTTGTGAAACCGTCCTGTTGTAAAACCTCATCTCTCGCTTGTGTAACTTTTTTTTTTTTTTTTTTTTGTGACACCAACAGAAACCAAACAGCAGCGTCTCCCCGCCCTACTATAAAGGGGGCGCGGCCACGAGCACGTTTCATCTGCTGTGTTACGTTCAAGTCGTGTCGGAAAATTCACTAGTTCTCAGAGTGATGGTGAAAACATAGGCTGATCCACCATAACCTGCGCCAAATAATTATAGTAATGTGGACATTAAATAGGAGTCTGTATAAGGAGAATAATGTGCTTTACAGTTTTGTGTTAATAAGATGTTACACAAGACGTGTGATGGTAATTGTATCAACATTTTACTTGACAGATATCTAGAGGTTTTTCTAATGTGTGTTACTTTTTATTTTCTTCAGTCCTCTAACTGCTATCTCACCACTATCCACTAGTAATTGTTTGTGTCTGGAGCACTCAAAAACTGCCTGCATCAAATGTCAGATCTTAATCCTTGATCAGATATTTCTTAAATTCACAAATTCAGACTGTATCTTTTTCAGGCAAAATTTTTGTCTGGCTGCTCGTATTTAAACAATATTTACATCTGAGAACTTTGGCCTCTTTCTTTGAACGCAACACACATATATATAAAAAATGACTATATTTCTCAAAGTAAGTGAAGGAGTAAGTAATTCAGGTAGGCTATCTTATGGGCTTCAGTATCTGGAAATAAATCAAAAGATACCCAGCACTAGTGAACACACTACATACTAAAACCTGATTAGACCTGTTAAATAATAGTAATATGTGCTCTCTGAGTATTGCTCAGAAAATTCACATCTATGACAAGAACATGTTGGGCTTTTTTTTAAAAACAGGTGTTCAACATCTGGCCAATTGGAGCTGAGGTGGATGTGTGAAAGCCTGAAATACCTGCTGATCGAGGGAACTTCCACCAGAAAGTACCTTTCTATCAGCCAAATCCTTTCAGTGATTACATCATGATCACTTTAAATATTCACAATAGAATAAACAACAGTAGATCTGATGATATCTTAAATTAAGGAGAAAAAAGAAGCAGAAGCTTTGTTCAGGAGCCAGCAGCCAATAGCCCGAGGCACACACACACACACACACACACACACACACACACACACACACACATACACATACACACAAAGAGAATAATTAAAATATTATACATTATATTTAATTCTGTTTTCAGCACCTGTGAGCTTGGTGCTATTTGATTTCTAAAACAAATAAAAAAATGTAACAGCCACCAATGTAGGTTTTGTTGCTATATTATTTCTAGCGTCTCTTCTTTCTAGAGAAGAAACACTAGAAAGCGCTAGAAAGTACTGTCTGACCATACAAAGCTGCAAATTATAAAGTGCACTTGAAGGCAACATGACTTCTAACGCACCTCATTGGTCCCCAAGCCAAACCGTGGAATTATGGGAAAAGTAGTTTATGCCACATGTAAATAGAGACTATGTAACACACGTTGTGATACTTTGATTCGGTACAGCGTTTATTGTGCACCATAGTAATGTTTGATATTCTAACTGGACCTTGAAGAATGAGGAATATTTTACTTTTCTGTCTTGTTTCATTCAGTGGAAGCGAATAAAACAAGATCCTATTGATGTTCGAGTCTGGCCATAGACATGAATGAGTACTGCAGTATTTGGTGACACAGCGCCACCATCCGGTTAAGGACCACGTCGCATTGTAACATGTAAATGTGTAACTTAAATAGCACCCTGCCTCTCAGGCTCAGGTATGGTTCTGTCACTGATATTGTCAGCAGCTAAAAGTACATGTAAAATAGCTTCTTGGATGCCAGAATGAGAAATATACATGTAATAAAGCAATAATAATAAAAAAACAACAACCTTCAGGCCTATTATCATTGTGTGGGTGAGTGACTCACAGTGTTCCAGTCTACAGTAAAAAGGTAAAACGCAGCCGTTTTACAGCTTTTTACAAGCAATGTCTGGCATTTTCTAACATCTTGAAACATTCATGAAAAGTTTTCTTCTTTCTTTCTATTTTTAGAGAAACATCATTATTGGGACTGCACTGCCTCCTGCAACACCTTGACTCTCCAGGGACGTATGCAAGGATCCTGTTTGTGCACTTCAGCTGAACGTTCAACACCATCATCCCGGACATCCTCTACATCAAACTCATCCTCTATAAGCTTTCCTAGCTTCCTTGGGAGACCCATTCACTCTACCCAATTGATTTTGTACCCCAACTGTATTATTGTATTATTGTAATGTTTGAAGTGGTATTGTGAGTAAACTCAAACTCAAACTGAAACACTGCCGTCCCCCAGAGGTGTGTGCTCTCCCCACTGCTCTCCTCCCTCTACACTAATGACTGCACCTCCAGAGACCAGTCTGTCAAACTGCATACAGACGATCACAGACACCTTCATCAAGAAGGCCCAGTAGAGGTTGTACTTCCTGCACCAGCCTCATGAAGCTCAACCTGCCATCATTCAGTCTGTTCTCTATTCATCCATCACTGTCTGGTTTGGATCAGGACATCAGACAGGACAGGAACAGACTACAGTGGACAGTCAGGACTGCAGAGAGGGTCATTGGTGCCAACCTGCCCTCCATTCAGGACCTTGTCCAGAGTCACTGTAGATCCATCTCACCTGGACACAACCTGTTCCAACTCCTCCCCACTGGTGGGCGCTATAGAGCACTGTACATCAAAACAAACAAACAGTATCTACCCACAAGCCATCACTCTAACTACACACAGTGTCAGGAACAATCCCTGTACAATAACCCCCGGACTCCAACATCTACTGCACCTGTAATGTATTTATTATTTATTCTTCCTTTGTTAAAATTCAGTTTCTTTTTAAAAATTAATACTATAATCAAAAAACATCTACCTATACTGTATATACAGCACATAGATATTCATTTCAGCATCCTTTGCATTCTGCACTTTTGCACTATTGTCTACTGTCAACAATTGTTATTGTTTTATGTTTGTTTATATATATTAATGTATAACTGTACATAGTAGTTTATGTCTGTTTTATTAAGTCCTGTTTATTTATACTCAGTCTGTGTTTGTACGTTGAGCTCAAGGTAAAACCGGAGTCCAACCCTTGTATGTGCACATATCAGGCCAATAAAAGAGATTCTGATTCTGATGTCATTATTACCCAGATCAGTGGTGTTCAAACTAGAGTCCGGGGACCAACAGGGGTCCTTGAGTGGGTTTTAGGGGGTCCCCAGCAAAAAAAGGAGTATTTTAACTTTCATCACATTTTTTTGGAAGTTGGAATAATGGAAGAAATAGGGTTGACCGTTTTTATTGATTGTTATTTATATGGATCCCAGTTTAAGCATTAAGCGACTCTGACGACTTTATAATCTTGAAACCTAAAAATAAATCAATGTGTATCTATTGTGGGGGGTCCTTGACATACACCCCTGACCTAGATAATTAAAAACCACCATTTTAGTAGTTAGTATTTTGAGAGTTTTTACTCATTAAAATGTAGTTTTGATGCTATAGATGCATTTTATTCTTATAAATAAATAGATACCAGGGGTACACAGCCCAAGAGGATTAATAGCTACATACAGTAAGGTTCAAAGGTCAACTTGGTCAGTAATGATGGTTTTTGACATTCGCCTCAACATTAAGAGCTTACATGTGACAGCTAAGTTAAACATAAAGTCAGCGTTACAGCTGACAACAAAAAACAGACTAATGGTAGCTAGTTAATCTAGATTGCCTTATCACAGTGCAAACTGTCTCCCTCTCATTGGGGAGTGAGGGGCTAATCACACAAACACATTGCTAGAAACGTGTTGCAACAAAACCATTGTTTTTCCATGGTACAGACACACATTAATATCAAAATGTTTTCAACTTTTCAGCCCAAGGCGCAGGGTTGCACAGCTCATCAATGTCACACTTGGTCCAGACAGCCAATCAAGAAAGAGGCTTTAAAAAATAGTAAATAGTTAAGACAAGATAGTCTTTATTGATCCCACACTGGGGAAATTCACTCTACAGCAGCTGCAGATCGACACAACAGATAAAAGGAAAAAAAACAGAAAAATACAAATGGAATGAAAATAGAATCAGAGTTGCATGTACACTATATATAGCTTTTATATATATATATATATATATATATATATATATATATATATATAGCAGTATAGTTTAGTGGAAAATACAGGCTGAAGACATGGGCTATGAATATACAGTAAAGCTCTAATACTAACACTGTTTGTCTAGCAAATTATATAACATAAAACAATATGTATGTGAAACTATACAGTACTAGTAGTGCAAACAGTATATTAATGTTTTTACTGCTGAGTTATGTAGTCTTACAGCTGTTGGGATGAAGGACCTGCGCTCACATAATAATGGACATATTTATCGCCATAGTTAGGCCTACATAAAAATAAATAAAATAAAATGTATCTTTTGTATTTGGGTTACTACAAGTCTACTTTTAAGTTATTTTTTCTGTATTTTACACTTGTTATGTGAATGTGAACGTCTCCTATGACAATATTTCATATTGTTTTAATATTTTATGTTGTTATAGTTTACTCATCATATCTGATTGGCTGCGTGCACCTGCTGCGTCGCTCCACGAGCTGTTTTACCCTACGCACGTTGCCATGGCGTTCTGGCCCTTTCCGCTTCCCAAATAAGGAAGTCGATCAGGTGATTGATCGCGGAATGTTTTGTATTCACATTTTTTATCGTTATCAGCGGAAACACTCGTCATTAAAACAACGGCTGGCTGTGTTGCCTAGCTACAGTCGCTAGGTAACATTACCACTTCACCTCGGATAAAAACCAGTATGGGTGGTTTGTGTTGGCTATGACTATAACGTTACATATTGTTACTGACTGCTGTTACTTAACCTCCAGAGGGGTGTGTGGACGGATCCACCTTAACCTCCAGAGGGGTGTGTGGACGGATCCACCTTAACCTCCAACCCCGCCTCGGTTGCGGTTGTTGGAGGGAGGAGCTCGCGGACAGCACGGGACTCCTACTGGCTGTCACGCGGGTGGTTCCTCTGCCTGCGCTCGCTCTTGAATCTCGACCCTCGTTTCTTCCTCTGAGGAGGTCACTGCTGAGGACCAGTGTGTAGCGGTCCATGCATCCTTTCTGACTGCTGTTGGTGGAAGAAAACAGGTGAGCTACACTTCACATACTCTGTATACGGCAATGTCTCCTCTGCAGGCATGGGGGTTTCTGTTGTGTGAGCTGAAGCTACATGTAGTCATATCATATGTTTCTGTTTATGCAGACACTTATTAGACAATAGTCTCGTTTGACTTACGCATGGCAGGAATGCATCAGTGCCAAGAGTCAGGGGAAGAGCTGGAGGAGGTGACTGGGATGGTGTGTCAGGAGACCGACCTTAAAGATGGACAGTAAGTCTGTATTTGGGAGCTTCACTATGTATCTTCTTCCTCACTTTGTGTTCATTTTCTCAGTAATATTTTAAAGTATGTTTGTAGAGGGCACAATACATTTACACAAATAACACATTTTGTTTATATAATATACACACATTTGTCCCGTTTTGTGTTTAGGATGAGAGAAGTGACTGTGGGGGAACAGACGGTGTTGCTTGTCTGTACCCAGGGTCAGTACAGTGCTGTTGGAAGCCACTGCTCTCATTACAATGCTCCTCTTATCAAAGGTAAACCTCTATCATCAGCGTCTCAATCTCCATAAACCAATACCTGAATTAATATGAAACGTTTGTGCATTGAATTTGATGTTCTCTGATTATCCAGGAGCACTGGTTGGTTACAGAGTGAGATGTCCTTTTCACGGTGCCTGCTTTAATGTCAGAACTGGAGATATTGAAGACTATCCAGGTCTGGACAGTCTGCCTACTTATAAGGTAAAACATGTCTGTAAAGTTTGCAAGAAAGAGGAAAGAAAAGTGCAAATTAGGACGTAACCCCTTGTTCATTACATCTGTAGTTCTGTTGACAGATGTTACTGTTGTTCAGGGTACTTCCTCACTCTGTCAAAACATTTCCTATTATTTAAGAATGGATGCTTTTATCAACATTTCACCTGTTGCAGGTCATTGTACGCAAATATGATTTTGGCCTTGTTGTCAAATGACCCCACTTTGCTTTCTGTACCTAAACTTCTCTCTCACCTTCTGAACATTTTACAGGTAAAAGTTGAGGATGGAAAGGTGTACGTTACCATCAACAAAAATGTAAGTGATTGTATGTTAAATTAACAAAAAGGATAACAATGTTTCCTTTAATTTTGAGTTAAAATACAGTTTTAAACAGTCTCTTATTGGTTTGTTTCTCCTCAGTCTCTGAAGTTGACGAAACGGGTGAAGGAGATGTGCAGGATGGTACCAGACATCAAACACACTATCCTGCTGATAGGAGGAGGTAAATACTGAATACTGTAATAAATACAGGAGCTTTCACTTGAAAGTTAAAGCCTCAAGTTATCAGTCCATGCTGTAGTGCTGCCATGTTTCTTAAAGTCTAATTTCTGAATGTACCCTCTGAAAAATGACACATAATAATATGAATTTTGTGATTTCAGGCCCTGCCTCCCAGGTGTGTGCTGAAACGCTGCGGCAGAACTGCTACCAAGGGCGGATCATCATGGTAACCAAAGACACCCTGCCTCCATTTGACAAGCCCAAACTGAGCAAGGTAAGGTAACCTGTATTCATATGTATTTGCATCTAACTGCTGACCTTGTTTGTCCTTTCGAGTAGATTTCTCAACAACCTGTATTTAGATGTTCGTTTTTAGTAAATGGCCTTGCCTCTTTCAGGCTATGAACCTGGACAGCAGCAGCATCCTCCTTCGGCCAAGTGATTTTTATCAACAGTACGGGATTGAGGTGTGGACACAGAAGGAGGTGAGAAGAAAATAAGAACAATCTATTTGTGTTGCATTCTCACCATTTTGGGGGAAAAACCGATCCTCTCTTTGCTTAAGAAATGTGTTTGGTGTTGCAGGTGGTGTCTGTAAACCCAGCCGATAAGTCGGTGAAGCTGAGCAATGGCACTCTGCAGCAGTACGACCAGCTCCTCATCTCAACTGGCTGCAGGTTAGAGTCGTCATCCTGTTCCTCAAGTCCTCAAGAAACTAAATTTCTTGAAGTTTTTTTTTTTACATTCTGGTGTCATCAGACTTAATGAGCACAAAAGACATTCGGTTTCCATGTGACAACATACAGTAATAGTCCTTATTATGTTCACAGAGCACGGCCGCTAAACTGTCCTGGTTGGGACCTGAAGGGAGTGAAGTTACTGCAGAGTTATGAAGACGCCAAAGAGATTCACAGCTCCTGTGTGGGCCAGAAAGCTGTTGTAATCGGAGCCTCTTTCATAGGTTATGAGATTAAGTTTAAGCTTGTTTAAATTGTACATGAATATCCCATGACGTCATGCTTCTGAGATGACTTTGCCGGTTTTGCATGAACTGGTCTTTCAGCCTCAACTGTTGATGTTGTTGCACTTTTGTGTGAGCCAGAGATCAAACAAACCAAAGTCATAAAGAGTATGGTTTAGACCTGCTCTATTTGAAAAGTTTCCTGAGACAACCTTTGTTATGAATTGGCGCTATACAAATAAAACTGAACTGAATCTGCTAACTCATGATGATGCATATACACCCGTAATTGGCAGGCTGAGCAAACGTTTCTCTACCTTCTATCAGCCTTCGGCAAGCTTAAAGGAGCAGAATGAAACTTGGGTTGTTCCTTTTTACAAAAACAAGCCTGTAGGTGTATTTGTTGTTTGATTATCAGGTTGATAATTTGGACGGTATCATTCCCTCATTTTTCTTACAGTGCAAGATAAAGCTACTTTTAAACAAATGTAGTCACGCCAGTATTGCCGCCACTGAAGTGTTTCTCTCATTAACACAACAGGTATGGAGGTGGCATCGTACTTATCAGACAAAGCTGCCAGTGTGGCCGTGGTTGGCACCAGCACATACCCATATGAGCGATCTCTGGGGCCAGAGATCGGCAAAATGAGCATGCAAGTAAGAAACGATGATGATTGTAGTTTGTCATGGTCATTGCTCAGTGTGATGTTATTAGCTTTTATTAAATAAAACTAATTTTAATACTTTGTTTTCTCCTTGTAAGATGTTGGAGGAACAAAATGTAAAGTTCTACATGAATGATAGAGCCACTGAGATCAAAGGGGAGAACGGCAAGGTAACTCTACTTTTACTCTATTAGCATCAGACTTTTTCACAGCAGACATTTGAACTACAGTAGGTAAAGCACAGGTGGTATATATATATATATATATATATATATAATATATATATAAAAATGTATTTTAACGATGGCTCTGTTGTGTTCAAGTGTCCCAGTAAGAAGTGACAGTGAGCAAACATGAACAACACCAGGCAGCTAAATGGCATTCAGCCAGCATTCGCTGTATTATTTACACCTGTGTTTTTCTTACTGTGAAGTCAAAATTAGAAATTGTGCTGCTTCAAACCTTTTGTGTACTGATAGTGTATATCATCCAGTAATTAGTCTTTTCCTTTCAGGTGAAGGGGGTGGTGCTGAAGAGTGGTACTGTCCTGGAAGCTGATGTTGTGATTGCTGGAATTGGTACATTTTTAATTTTACTTCAAAGTGTTAAAAGTGAGATATACACTTTTTATTAATGGACCTTAATAAACGCAAACCAACATTTCTATTGGAGTTTTAAATTATGACAACCATTGCATATTGATAAAATAAAACCGTCAGGCTACAGAAGCCCAAAAGATTACATGGGTTAGTACACAGTTGCCCTGCCCCTACCTCAGTCTCGTGCTTTAATGACCATTATCAACATTTTGCTCCCCCAGATATTTTCAAACACTGTAGTTTGTCCGACACTTCACAGCCCGTTCTCATTGCCAGGTCGTCTAATACAGGCACAAATTGATAGATCTTTAATATATTGATTCGTACTTGTTTGTTGACATTTTTCCATCCTCTAGCTATTGCTTTCTTAGAGACACGTGTCTATTAATGCACGGTCGCTCTTCTTAACAATAAAATCACGTGGATTAATACCCAGAATGCATAGCTTTGGCAAACAATGGATGGATTCTCAGGTCTGTTATCCGCCTGATCATCTCATGAACCTCCTTCCAAGAACTTTTGACCTCATTACATTCCCATTAGCAGTTAAAGGGTACTCTCTTTCCATTGTTACATTTGAATCTTAACATGCAGACAGTCTAATATGTGGACCACTACTGCCTCACAAGTAATGGCTACTCAAACAGAGTCTTTCACATTCAGACTTTTTCTGTGCAGTTCTACAAAAATCTATCACAAAGATCTCTGTTTTTTCAGGCGTAATCCCCAATTCAGACTTCTTGGCTGGAAGTGAGTTGGAAGTGGATCCAATGAAAGCTGTGATTGTTGACAAGGTAACACACAGTTCATGGAGGACATTGCATTGCCTACGGCCTAACTTTAATCACTGGGATATGATGACGTAACAAATGAAGTTAGTCTGATGGATACGGTTTAATTGCTTGTTTTTTTTATTTTATTTTTGGCCAAACATTAATATTGTATATTAGCTGAATCCTTCAGATAAATGTGTTCAGTCGACTTTATAAGCCTAATGTGGAGGCTCTTGCTGTTTATCTTCACTAACAGTTCATGAGGACCAATATACCAGATATTTTTAGTGCAGGAGATGTTACCGCTTTCCCTCTGACCATTCGTGGAGACCAAAGGGTCAACATTGGCCACTGGCAAATGTCACAAGCTCAAGGTAAGAGACTGAAGGAGTCAAAAAAAAACAGCCTTATATTGTGTTTGTTGGTTTCATGTCTCAGATAAAGCTGCGTTCTGTTAAGATATTTCTCATATCATGCACCTTTTCTTTTATCTAGTCAAGAACATTTTAGGGGTGAAAATAATTCGATGCCTGGGTTCAACCTCATTGTTTGTTTTTCTCTTCAGGAAGAGTAGCTGCCCTAAACATGCTGAAGAAACCAACCAAAATTGAGTCTGTTCCTTTCTTCTGGACTGTGTTGCTTGGGAAGAGCATCAGATATACAGGTTTGAAAGGTTTATTGAGAAAATGTCAGCCTTTTATCAAAATATATAATTAATAGTCTCATTTCCTCCTTTCATTTCCTCATTCCAGGCTACGGGGAAGGATACACAGAAATCATATTCAAAGGCAAAGTGGAAGAAAGGAAATTCCTGGCATTTTATATAAAGTAAGCAGCTGTGGAATAACTCCTGATACAGCTGAATATGAATTCCTGCTGTTTGTGCTGAATTTCTACTTTTGTTAACAGAGATGAGGTGGTGGTAGCTGCGGCCAGCCTGATGTTCGACCCTGCTGTGGCGCATGTTGCTGAGCTGATGACTACTGGCCAGATTTTAACAAAGGCACAGGCTCAGTGAGTGTCATGCTGCATTCACACAAACTACACTATGTGTTTATATACTGTATGCACATTAAATACACGAAGTAATGATGAATTTATTTGTTATTGGGGAGTAAATGTCATTCTTATTGTTGCTGGTACTTAAATAAAAAAAGCCAGATCCACAATAATGGGTTAAAATGCACCCATGACCCACAGTGGGTCCAGCTTTAACTACCTGCAATAACTGATTTTTGCCACTTGGGCAAGCAGAAACAACATTTACAGCTTCATCACATTTTAAGTTGATATGGCGAACCTGTCCAGCAGATATGGAGCAACATTAGCATTCATTTGGAGTCATGTTTGTGTCTAGTATTCACTCTTTAGTCACTAACTTTGTCTGCCATTGTGTAAGGGGCAAGTAACATACAGTCAATTTTTAGAGCTTTTTCACTGAGATGAGTTCCCTACTGTGTCCTAAAATGATGCATGAGAGTGGCAAGGGTAAACAGTAAAAGTAAAATTATCGGCTGTAAAACCAAAACAATGAGCTCAAAGACGCTAAAACGCTTCCATGTAAGGCGCTAGTTAATTTTCTGTGGGTCGTTCACTGAAAGCACTTTAGACGTCCACTATTGATCCACTGTTAATGTGAAAGCAGCTTTAACAATGATACTGTAACCCAGTCACTCTGGTATAGACGTGTAGGATGTTGATACACAGCACTAAAAACAGTGATTGGAAACCTGGACGACATTAAAGTCATATAAACATCATACAGCGATACTATTACTATGATCTGTGTAAACATCACATCGCAAATCACAGGATGAGACTCCTAACCTGTAAACTCCTCTTTGTTGAATATTTGCTTTGTCACCTCCTTATCCGTTCAGAGCTGATGACCTGAGCTGGCTGCAGATGTAACCAGAGGCCTGCTGTATCCAGGAGTAACCCACACTGACAAAGGATGATGCCTTTCTCTTTATTGTTCCTCTCTCCATCCAACTGTTCTCATATCTCCTTATATTTACTGCCTCTGAAAGCCAATCAGACCTCTGCTCCTACTCACGGTACTGTTACCAGAGCAGCAAGCAAAGCTTTATTGAATTAGCACTTTATGTTCTCAGTGAATAATCTGATATGTGTGTAGTTGACTTGCAGCAGTTTCACATCCAAACATTTTTGTCTTTTTGACATTTTAAGATTTCATAAACATTCAGTATAATAGTTTAATATTAATATAATAATAGTTTAATCATTTTGTAGTGTAGTTATGTTACTATAATAATAGTAACATAATAGTATTTTTATACTATTTTAATCACTGGAAACATTTTGACAATATGCACACCATCACACTTAGTTACAATATATTTATGAGCAACTTTTTTTAAATACAAAGGTCAATTAAAATACTGGGGATGGACTTGCTGATAATTAACAGTTTGTGTATTTTTCATTCACTTTTATTGTTTCATTCTTACCTTTAACTCACTTAAAATGTAGTCTGAATGCTTTGTGGCACATAACTAATTCTCAGGTATTAAACAAATATGTTTAAACACCACCGATTCTCCATATGTATGGGGATGTGTTTCGTTTCTGTTTAACTGACCACAATAAATCATTGCTTACCTCTAGATAACCTTTGCTACTTCATTTGTTTTAGAAGTGGTTATATATAACAAAACACACCATAATCATCATCAGCTATAGTTAAACATTTAATATCTTGAATTTATAAATAAAGTATCTATCTATCTATCTATCTATCTATCTATCTATCTATCTATCTATCTATCAAACACATCAGATTGTTTGATTGATTGATCCACTTCTTGTTCATTGTTTTAAATCTGGTCTATCTGACCCCTTTTCTATCAAACTGGCCTTTTGTGGACTATTGTAAGACTTTAACATTTGCAAGCAGGGCAGTCCAAATACTAATGTAATTTATGAATTATAAAGTTTCATGTTGCACAATGACAGCCGAATACAAAGCCTGTAAGATGCTTTTACTGTAATTTTTACACAGAATCTTCTTGTGTATTTAAACTTAGTTCACTTAGATGTTAAGTCAAGACTAAAGCGACAATATTTCATAAACAACTATCACTTTGTAAATGAACTTATTTTAGTATCCAGACACTCTTACTATCATAATACTGTGACAGCATTACAGCACTGCCAAACTATGAACCACGATTATTCACAAATGATAAGTACATCATTGGAGGTAAGTGACGACAAGCACAAGATTATTTGTCTATAATTTACAAATGTGATGGACTAATCAAAACGAATGTGTTAAAATGTTATTTTACTCAGGTTTCAGCAACATTTTCATTTGTTTGTTTTGGAGCATTTTGTCACTGAGGATCCCAGTTTGTCCGCCAGCAGAAATGGGCTGAGGTGGCAGTACTGAACAAAAAAGGAAGAAGAAAGTTGACTATCACATGAGGCTGAAACAAATCTTCTATTTCTTTCAAAGCTTAAACATATAAACATTTTACTTTCTTTCAAAAATTAAAGCATTTTCAGCTACCTGTGGTGTTGACTCTGAGCTGCACTCTGGTTTATCCGACATCTCGATTTTGAAATCTGGGAAGAAACGGGAACTCTGGAGGATTGCTGCCATCTCTCCATTTACCTCCACTGCCACATCTTTCTGCACAGCACAAAAAGAAAACATTCATTTTATCTTTCCAACACTGCTGATTATTTTAGATGTGACTATTCAGGATTCTTGTTCACACTGTATTTGAATCGTCTACATAAAGTTTATAGAGTATTTGTGTTTTTTATTGAGCCACAGAAATTAGACCGACAGTATATTACTGTTTCAATTCTCATTTTCATTTTTATAAAAGAATACTAACAATAAATTTATTTACATCTATAGATACAAGGTGAAATAAAAGGTACAGGATTATATTTGAGAATGGAAAAGGTTCAAACACAAGTGATAAAGACAAAAATAAAAAGTAAAAGGATAAAATAAATGTGCATATATTAACAGGTTCCTATTATTAACATTAATAAATCAAATCAGTATTGGGCTGATTGGCCTCTGGTGAGACTTTTATAATACCTTGAAAGAGTGGGAGGAATCAAAGTCCAGCTGATCTGGGAAATCTGCCACAGTTCCTTTGTAGGTCACTCTTGCCTCAGACCTGACGGGACTTTTGGGCAGCTTAAACAGGCGGTAAGTGCCCGAAGCATAGCTGATGTCACCTGCAAAATGAACAGCCGACCTCAACTACAGAATGAAAACACTCTTCACTCGTCGTCACAACTCAGTGTCGCTCTTCTTGGTACCTGCTTTTGCTTTGAGCTCACTGTTGTAGATCACGATGCGACTCGCTGAGACGAGGTGTGGGGTGCTGAAACCTACGCTGCGGGCCAGTGAAATGAAATCGTGCCAAAACTGAGAACCACCCATTCCTTCACCTTGGGCCCAGAAATACAGAGGATGCAGACACATTCATTGTCAGTGTCAGCGATTCTGTGCTTTATTACATGTACATTTAGGTTTTAATGATCATGTTATCTTACCCCACAGGACTGGATCTTGCTTCATGTGATCAGGGACAACTTTGCTGGCATACATGTCACTAAAGTACAGTTCACCTCCCTCCTGTGTAAAATGAGAACCATTAACAGCATGAAACGTTTCTCTTCTTAATCTAGTTGGTAGATATCCTTTGTACTAACCTTTAGGACATTGTATGCTTGCTGTAGCACGGCTCTTTTATCCGGACACAAACAGACTACACAGTTGGATCTGAATGTATTAGAGGGAAAAACAGTAATAAACATTATCAACCCAATCAAAGCTGCTTTACAGAAACATCATGTTGAGACATATCCATGCGTTAAACCTACAGCACAACATCCACTGAGTCACTCTGTATGCCAGCTTCACTGAGCTTCTCCATGTACCCCTGGACAAAAGAGACGTTGGGCTTCTCATAGCCAAACTTCTTCTGATGATATTCAACGTACTGACGACACACTGTGACCTAAACAAATGGAAGTTAAATAAAGTAGAAAGCACAGAAATCAAGTATCAAACAATGTGCGCACGAGGACGTGTAATCACCAGCTCCTCCGTCATATCAATCCCTGTCACATGTCCGCTCGGTCCCACAAGTTTACTGAAGGCATAACAGTCCCTGCCAGAGCCGCTGCCCAGGTCCAGGACCCTGCAGCCCTCAAGCTTTGCTGGAAAGGGAAGACCACAGCCGAAGAATCTGGAGACAAATACTGTCAGTGACAACAGTGCATGACCACAAACCATCACTGTGCAATGGTGGGAATCATACAGATGATACAGAGACAACAGACTGAGGAAAAGTTAGATATCTGAATAAAACAGTCCACTCCTGTCTCCCATGAGTACAATATGTGCAGACCTCAATGAGACCATCTAATGAGGTGCATGAGAAAGTTACTGCTGTAGATGTATGTGCTGCAAAAAGTAAAGGTGAGACAAGAGTGCCACCCGTACCTTTTTATCACCTCTGTGCGACCCGTACCTTTTCGTTACCTCTGGGTGAACCAGGCTCAGTGCATCGGTGACACTTCTTGGCGCTGTGCGACCGGACAAACTGCAGGAAGCAGCACTTGTTTGCAGATCACAGGAGGACTCCAATCGACTGCCGTAGTACTTCTGCACACAGCAGTCAATAAAACATGCTTTTAACATTTAACTGTAATTCAACAGGCTGTCATTTGTCTGCACTAACGTGTATGTTTCAAACATTATAATTACTAGATTTGACAGAGATTGCATTGCTCTTTAACTTTGTTTTTGATTGAAGGAAGGTCAGTATAACAAACGTTATCAATCAAACACGACTGTGCAACAATTGTGCAATGTCCGGACTGCTTCAGAAGAACTTCTCCATGAAGCTCCGGGTGGAGATAAAACTACATTGTGTCTGATCCAAACTAAAAAAGTACCTTCACGTTTTCCCGTACGTCGTCACAAGTCGCCATCACGTCCGACAGCTTCACAGACAGCTTCAGAAAGAAAGTGGCTTCAAACTATGTGAAACGCAACCGCTAAGTTAGATAAATGAGAAGCAATATTTGGGTCAGACCTGCCCCCTGTCCCCTGTCCTCCACCAGTGCCTTCTATTCTTCCGGTCCCTTTTTTCAGAATAAAAGTGGCATTGCAAATAAAATAAAATCAAGTATACACAATGAAAATGTTTTTTTTATTTTTTATTACTTCAGTTATTAAAAGCTTGGAATCGGTTTCAAACAATTAACAATGATCAATTTTAAAGACTTATCAGTTACTTACATTATAGCAATAATATAATTTTTTTTTCTAAATTCATGGTTTCAGAATCAAACAGTGGATACACTTGGATTGGAGGGGACAAAACATATTGATCAAAAGTTATTTTGCACCATACACATCTGTATACAACAAGTGGGCTTTTGTCTGGGATAGGCTAGTAAGTCGAGTCAAATTTTACATTATATAGAATTTTGATTACAATTTGCTTTACAATCTGTACAGAATTCAACACCATCTGTCTTTAGACTCTTGATTATTGTAAGGAAAAACTCCCCCAAAAACAATTTTAACAGAGGAAAATTGCAACAGAGGAGGGACAGACATGCAATAGATGTTGAATGTACAGAACAAACCAACTAAAGCAAATACACATTTTGATAACACAATTTCTCACAGATTATAAAATATACATATGAATGCACATTATAACATATCCAAAAGCCCATTAAGACAGACTTGTATAGGGGTAAAGCTACTTTTATACTGTGGTAGAAAAATATAAAGTTGCTTACGTAGTACTTTGAAGCCAGTAAACACCCCAAAAATTTATGAAACAAGAAATAAAACATAATAATACTATATTCATGTATTAATATGTAATAATTATTCAGTCATTCTTTGTAATCATCTGTAACTTCTGCAACACCACAATCTTATTTATTAACTCATTTTAATTTCTGTCAGCAGATACTATAGCATATGTTTACATTTACATTTAATTTCTATATATCTCTTATTATATTTTATTATTATATTATTAAATATATTATATTTCCATTTTATTTTTATACCTTTACATACATTTATATTCTATATATTGCGTTAGATATTGTAATATAAGTATTATTTCTATTCTTTAAAGTGTCTCCTGTACACCACCAACCTACAGGGGGCGGTAGTCGGGATCAACGGGATCATCCGGGTATTTGCCACATTGCGCTCGTTCAACGCTTGCGTATGTTTCGACGTAGAGCTCCGACCGTTAAGAGGGAAGAACCATAAGAACTACGTATATCCGGCGTAAGTGCGGTCTGTGACTCGCAGCGGACTGCGCTCATCGTGTGGCCACCGTCGTTCATCGTGCGTGATGCAGTTTTATGAAGACAAACCAACACAACGGTGAACCGAGAGGAGACAGAAAAAAGGGACAAAACAGCCTGTAAAGAGAGATGTTGTGGTAGCTGGGTGTGTGTGTGGATCCCCGCTGTCTTCGACGTTGAGAAGTTACCCCGGGAGTGAAGGTAGGGGGGAGGCAG